GCAGGAAGAAGTAGGAAGAGATGGCAAATAACTTTATCTTTGGGATTCTGGAAATCAGAGTCCCTGGTCAGATAACTTCACTTCCTAAAGCCTTATCCCAAACCCTATTTTGAGAGAGAGAAAGGGGGAGGGGGAAGGAGAGAGAGAGAGAGAGAGAGAGAGAGAGAGAGAGAGAGAGAGAGGTGTGAGAGAGAGAGAGAGAGAGAGAGAGAGGGGTCTGACAGGTCCAGTCTCGCCCTATCCTATTCTCACTTTGGAGTTTTATATTTGGAGGCAATTCAGAAGGCCTTCTGCTGATTGGTCATTAATCCGGTGAGTTATTGTCTGCTAAACAGAGGTCACTGGGAGAGAAACATCCAATCTGTCAGGAGAGACCTGTGCAGTTACTCCCAGCGGCTGGGCCCCTGTTCCTCTCTTGCCTGCTTCTCCCTCCCTTCCCCAGCACCCCTCACCCAGCTGTCCTAGATTTGCCCCTTTTCCTCTAGCCTTCTCCACTCTGCCCACCTTTGTCTTGACATCCACCGGGATGGGGTTTGTCAGGCTGGGACTGAGCTTCTAGATGAGAGGGGACCCTTGATTTGGAAAGGCCGGCCTGCAGGTAACTCTCGGCTTGGCTCTCGGCACCACCAGCCGCTGGTCAGCGAGTTCAGGCGGCCTCCACGGTCACTGAGTATCCTTTGCAAAGCCTCAAGGCTGTCTATTTTTCTTCGCCTCCCTCTCGCCCTGCGGCCTGGAGTCGGGGAGAGTATACCTTGGATTTTTCTTCTCCAGCCTTAGTGGCCTTTTTGTTCTTTCGATCTCTGCTTCTGCTGATCCGGGTCTACATCAGCCTCCGCGAGGCTCCGAATCATCTTCTCGCCGCTGCCCCTTTGTTCCCTCCTGCTCCTGCATCTTAGAGGATGGGGGTTGGGGAACTAAATACCAAGAGCTGTCTTCGGTAGCAATTCTCATTTTACGACCCCCAGCTTTGAAATCTTTATTAATATTTAAGAAGAGATGGAGAGTCGGGTGCATGTGTGAACTTTACATGACCGCCGCTGCCACAAAGTTAGGCAGTAAAACTGGAACAGAGTGTGGGACCGGGAACCCAGAGAGGACCAGAAAGAAACAGATCATTAGATGCCCCGCCCAGCTCAAGTTCCAGCTTCTCCAAGAGCCAGGCAGGCTTTGGATTTGGGGCTGGCAAAGCGGGGGGCAGCTTGGTTGCCCCAAGGCTTATATCAGAAATCAGAAGGAGTCAGCCAATTTGACTACTGTTTTAAAGTAGTCAGCCAATTTGTGCTTATTGAGAATTGTCGTTTGCTCTTTGATGGATTTTTTTTTGCGGGGGTGGGGGAGGGGAGGAAGGACAGAAATGATCCCCCAAAGTCCTAGAAGGCTGTGTGGCCAGTGATCTCTCAAGGGAATTTAAAGTGCTCCTTGTCCCCTGGTACTGGGTAGGGATCAGGATGGGAGGAGCGGAGTGCCAGTACCGGATGGAGTGCTTCGGCTTTTCAGAAACTGAATCAGAGAGAAAAGAATGTCTATGAAGGGGAACATTTTCTCTAATTTTTACCTTTATTATTAATTTTTGCCTTTATTAGATTACACTAGGTCACTGTGTCTTAATCTTTTTCTCCATTTTTTCCTTTTTCAATCTCTCTCTTTCTTTCTCTCTCTCTCTCTCACACACACACAGACACACAACACACAGTTACCCAAGTTTCCCTCCTTGAGTCCAGGAAGAAATTATTCTCTCTCCTCTCTCTAATCTGTTCCTAAATCATGACTTTACTACAGGGGTGAAGCCATCTCCACTCCTCTTTTTAAAGACCCCAAAGTCTTCCCTCTGACCCTTCTGCTGTCTCCCACCCCAAGTTCCGTCCCCAAGCTCCTCACTGCCCCGCCTTTGTCCCCTGAAGTTTGAAAGGTCCCTAGCCTGCATCAACACCTCAAACGAAATGGGCGCTCTCAGGCCTGCCTGTTCTACCTCCAACCCCCACGCTCCCAGCCTCAAACAGGGGCAACCAGACAGCCAGAAATCTCTGAGAAAGGAAGGAAAAGGCAAGAAATAAACCAAACTTGGATCTAATTGCCTCCCAAGCATTTCGAATGGGCTATGCTCTCTAGAATTAATTAAGAAGTTCTCACTCCATCTCCTACCGCATTTGGGAGGTGCATGTCCTCTGAAATTTTCTCCAGGTAGGCTTTCTTGCTCCCCAGTTCTTCTTTTTGCTTCCACCCCACTGCGCCCCACCTCCTTATGTAGCCAGAAGGGACCACAAGGAGTTGAGGAGCCTCCGGGAGGGGAGGGGTCCACTGCTGTCTCTGGACAACTCCTCCGCCCTCAGCTCAGCTCCAGGTGGGCTCCTCCTGCAGCCCAGGCTTTCAGGCCCACAACTGGCTGGGTGTCCTCTGGGCTATCTTTTTATTCCTTGAGGCAAAACTTTGTAGCCCCACAAGCGACCAGTTTCTTTTCTTCTCCTTCATTTTCACAATTGACCTTCTCTAGCCAGTGGTAACAACAGCTAGGAGAGCTGGAGGATCTGAGGTACATTTTTGCCTTTGTAATTTGGGGGAGTGACAGAAAAGACCCAAAGGTGCTGGTTTCCTTAAGCCTCTGGAAGCCTCTCTGGGCTGAGTCCCTGGCCCACTGGGCTCAAAGAGTCCAACTCTGTAGGTTTCTAACCAGGGCCTAGAGACCTCAAGACAGACTCCTTGCAGCTACATGCTCAGGCAGCCCTAATGGCTCTCTTTGAGAGTTCTGGCTCGAGCCTCAACACTGGGTCCGTTTGGGACATTTTCTTTTCTTGATAGTACTAACAAACAGAAAAAGTGGGTCCCACCCTCCATCCTCATTGCCCCCCCTCCTTTCCCTCAGCCATCAACTCTAGGCAGGCCATAGAATCCTTAGGACATCACAGTGGGAAACTCTGTACAGTTCCTGTTGCTGGAGGGTAGGGAGGCCATGGGTATCCTTGCCCCCCATTCAGCAGGGCCCCAGGAAATTGGCTGCTCCAGCCCACGAAGCTTGACTTAGAGGGCCTGGAAGAAGTGGGGGCTACAGGAGGCCGGGGACCGCTTCCTGTGAGAGTAGGACCCTTTCTCAGCCCAAAGCAGAGCCTGTGAGTGGGGAATGATAGAGTATGAGGGAAATTTTGCCAGACACAATCGCCCTCTCCTGAGAGGGAGACAATAGCTGGATATCATCTCTCACCTTTGTTCTCCCAGTCCCATCTCTCCTGGTACATCCAGATGGGAGAAATATTCTAACTAGGAGGTCACAGAGTAATGGCTGGCTCTGCCTACGAGAAGTTAAGAGAACAGATTTTCCAAGCTGCCTTTGTAGAAAAGAGACTTCTCTGCCTTCTGTTTTATCCGGTAAACCCCGAGTCAGCAGTTAGGCAGAGCTGCAAACTCTCCTGCTTTTGGAAATGTCCTGGTGCTCTTTTTGTCTTTTTCCTACACCAAGAATGGCTCTTTCCCACCCCCAACCGAAATCTGCAGATACCTACATTCCTGGCTCCTGTCTTCCTCCTACAGGACTCCTTGCCTTTTCCCGCCCTTCTCAAACACACCCTAAGAAAAGTTTAGCTTTTGTAGTCCTCCTCACTGTGCCAAGAATCATAAATCTTGCAGTTAAGAGAACAGATTTGTTCTGAATAATGACAGTAACAACTATCCTCTGTCTCTTCTGCCAGTGCATTTAAAATTAAGCCATTTTGCTAGTTCTTCTCATCTTCTTAGAAGTACAAATGTCCTTAACACCTCTTAGCCCATTCTGTCTATCTAGAGGTGAGAACTGTAGCAGAAACTTCTCCACGAAGTTCTTACAGCCTCTCCACTGCCAGCCGGTCTGGAGCTCAAGCTAAACACAAGGTCCTCCTTTTGTCACCCTCTCCTCAATCTCCCCTCCCCCTGCAAGATGGTCTGGATTTTTAAAATAATCACTCACCGCTTGTTGTCTGTTCTCAAAGTGTGTGTGGGGGGGGCTGTTTAAAAAAAAAAAAAAAAAGGTGAGGCTTTCCCCTCTACCGGTTTTTCCCCTCTACCGGTTGAAAAGCGGGCCTGGAAATTTGTGGGGAGAGAAGAAGAAAAGAGAGGGTGTGGGGGAGAGAAGAAGCAGAGCCGGGGAGACTGCGAAGGAGGGAGCCCGAGTGAGAGGGTGGAAGACTCAGCCACCACCAGTCCCGGGAGGAGTGAAACTACTTAAAAAAAAAAAAAAAAGTCCTAGTGTTCTGCTGCAAATGAATGCAGAGGGGCACCCAGCACCCCCACCCCCAGGGAAGACACTGCCTTTGACTAGGCCTCCCAACAGCGACTTCTCCAATTAGCATAATGGTTTACTAGTGGGCTGGGGGGAGCTGGTGAATTCCAACTGGCTTCGCCTTGCATTCGCTCCTCCTGTCTCCCCTGCCAAAATCTCTATCTGAAAATTTACCTGTTCTTTAAAAAAAAATAACAAACAAACAAACAAAAACCTCTCTACTTTCTTTCCTTTCTCACCCTTTTTTTTGGGGGGGGGGCTGTAAAAATTTCCCCCTCCCCCAATAACACCATTGCCTTCCCTCCTTATCAGGCATCTAGGCTTGCTAAAGGGGGAGAGGTGGGGGTGTGTGTGAGCTTGTGTGTGAGTGTCTGTGAGTGAGTGAGTGAGTGTGTGTGTGTGTGTGTGGTGTGGTTTTTTTTTTTCCCTGTGCAAAAGCAGAGGCCATTGTTACAGAGAGTAGGGCGTACCAGTCTTATAGGGCAACCACACTGTGGCGGCTTGGCCGCGCTGGAGCCTGAAGCTGGATTCTCTGCGAGCCCAGCCACCCGAGCACCTTTCGGTCTTCTATTTTTTTCCCGCTCCCCCACCCCTCCCTCCTGCGCACCCCCGCTCCTAAGCCGAGTGAATTGAAGCGGACGCCGCGCGGCTCCTCTGGCCGGTCTGCCCCTCGGGCTCGCCAGCCGGGGTGGCTATTGGGGTGGGGGGGGCGACGCAGCTTTAAACAGTGGTCTTTTTTTCCTTTGCCTTCAAGGAGGGGAGATTTCTCGCCTGCCGCTCGCGCTGGGGCTCGATGTGAATATATATTATGTCTGCCTGTTCTCCCCTCGTCGGTGGCTAAGGTAAGCTGGACTGAAATAGGCTATCAGTTTGTGAATGGCGGAGAGTATGTCTCAATGATTTATGGCCCATATGACTCCAATCTCGGTTCAAGAAGAGTTCACAAGCTTTAAGCTTCCTTCCACGCAGTATGACAATAAAGGATGAGGCCCTCGTGATTGAATTGTTGCCCTAATGACAGACCAGAAAGTGTTCCCTCCCTCTCCCTCTCTCCCTCTCTCCCTCTCCCTCTCTCTTTTCTCTTCCTGTTTCTCTCCTTTTCTCTTTTCTTTCAGCAGCCAGATCCAGGGCTGAATTCCTCCCCGGCTGCTAAGAAGAGCTTAACCTTTCTCTCTCTTCCTTCCCTGTTCTTTTATTTATCTTCCTTCCATTATTATGATATATATTTTTAAGTCCTGGAAGGTGGCCTATCTCCTCTCCCCGGGGTTCTCCAGCTATTGTTACTCTCCCTGGCTCTTCTGGGGGGCGGTGTGCCTGACAAGGTGGGGTTCTTGGGGTTGCTCACTCCAGTGAGATTCTAGAGGGAAGCCCAGAGCCACCGTCTCCCTCCCTCTCTCCCTCCTGAGAAACCATATGGAGCCTGGATTTTTCCAACATGGAGGCAAGGAAAATAGACATGTTTGGCTTGATAGAGCTGCTCCCCACCCCCTCTTCTCCTGGATCCCCAGATCTCAGATCCATCCCCTCGGCATCTTTCCCTTCTCACTGTCCTGTCAGCCAGGCCTCTGCGCCCTCCAGCCCAGCCTGGCAAAGTATCGGAGCAGAGTTGCTTAAGCGCCTTTTAATTCGGTTACCTCCAGTGCCCAAACTTGCTGCTGCTCGTAGTGCTCGGCCCTCAGCCCTGTGCTCTTGGAACCTGCCACTGCTAACCATTACGGTGTCCTGAATGCTTTCTTTTCGCCTCCTTGGGCCAGCATAGCTAGTCGCCCGCCACCGCGGCAGGAGCGGCAGGAGCGGCAGAGAGAAGCCGGCAGTGGCAGCCAGGGACTAAGCCTGCCCGCAAACCTTCTGGGTCCTTCCTCGCCGCCGCCTGCAGAGTCTCCATTCTTTCCTATCACGTCTCTGGCCCCTCTGCTTCCCACACTCGCCTGGCCTCAGTGCTGAGACGGTTTGCGGGTTTACTGCAGGGGGAGTGACAGAAATTTCGGCCCCAGGCGCCTAGTCAGATTATTGTTTTATCATCATCATCATCATCGTCATCATCATCATCATCATTATTGCTATAACAATCATTTAGACTAAATAAAGCCAGGTCCCAGCCAGCTAACCCCTCCAACATTTTTATTTTATTCTCCTCTCTATTAATAACAAACTAAACTGATGCCTGTTAATTAATTTCCCCTTCAGCCAGGACTTCTCCGAAGTTAATTTTGGTTAAAGCATCAGAGGCTAATGGTAGTAATAATAAAGGGATTGGGTCAGCCTGGTCAATCGAACGAACTCCAGTTCTCCTTTCTGAAAGGACCTGCTGCTTTGCAGACCCATGTGTATTTCCCAGAAACAAATTCTTCCCGGAAACCAATCGGAACTCAGGGCCACCCCGGCTTTCTTTTGAGTATGAATCTGTGCCACTAAGAAGAGGATTTATGTGTGGGAGGGACTTCCTTCACCCATACGCCTTTTCTTTTATTTTCCTATTTTTATTTTTCTTTGGAGTTGGCCAACTGGACTGAATGAAACTTATTCCAAACGCACATGTTAAAAGAGAGGGTCAGTCTGGAGGTTTTATGAAAAGTGATGGTGAGGCATTAGGGAAGACAGATGGGGGACTGGAGGAGAAATGAAGTCGTTAAGTTTCAGAAGAAATACACAAAATCCTATTACAGCTTGAACCTTTATTTTTCTGGCGCACTTTTAAGAGGCTGCATGAAAATAATGACTATGTATTTTTAAACCTCAGAGAACTTCAGTAAACAGGGTACCCTGTTTCCAACCCAGAGAATATTGTTCAGATTGCTTTGTTGACTTTCTTCTTCCTTAAGGAAAAAAATTTCTCTTTTAGAAAGTACTTTCCCATCTCTTAGTAAAAAGTTCAGCAGTTATCCAGTTTCTTTTTTTCTTCTTTTCAAGAAATCAAAGGAAACAAACTGTCAAGAAAAGGGTGGGAAAAAATTAAATCTGATGAAAAAAAATAAAGGAGGGGGTAGATATGGGCCAAATGGTCACAGCATCAACCAGCCTGGCCAGGGAAATGGAAACAATCCTACTCCACTGGGGACCCCTGGGGGACTGCCTGCTGCCAGGTCCCACTTCGCTGAGTAGACTCAGGCTAGAAGTGGTGGTACCTGAAGCAGGGGCATGGGGGAGGCTCAGTTCCGCTGGCTCTGGAGATTAAAAATCTTCAGGAAGTTTCTAGGTCAAGCCGTTGTTAGTCCTTGTCTTTGAGACATGGGAGGGGAAGGAGAGGATCCCTTAAACTAGAAGCTTCTCTGCTCAACTTCTTCATTCTGTCTCTTTTGGAGATCTTCGGTTTTTCTTCCAGGCGAGTCTGTGCTTTAGTGAGAGAGACCTAGACGGACATGGAGGGAGGCAGAGGCAAGAGGACTCTCAGCTCAGAGGAGGGTGTTGATGACGCTTTTATTTTGGAGTCTCCCAGTCTCCCCCCTCTTGAGCCACCCTATCCCAGAGTTGGGAGGGGGAGGTAGGGAGATAGAGGAGAGAGGTCAGGGGCTAGTGTGCATGCAGGAGAGAAAGCAATGACTTTGCAGTAGTACGTTTCTATACCTAACCAGTCCCTAAAGGAGTACAGTCCTTGTTTTTTAAGTGGAAATGAAAACCGGTGGGCTTTTTCTTTAAAATTAAAGTGTTGAAATAAGAGAAATCCATTTCAGGTCAGGAAGTGGCCTCAGCATCTGCTGTGAAGATGTTGGGGTGGGGGAGAAGAAAAAACCCTATTGATGTCAGTTCCCTTTTCAGTTCCTAAGATGGATTCGAGCCCCAGTCTTCTTCTCCCCCTTGTGTCTCTTCTCTCACCCCGCAGGTCAGCCGCTCCGAAAAGACCCCGGGAGGAGGGGGGCAGAACTGGGAGGGGGGTCCGGAGCCTCACGTGACCCCCAGGGGTGCCAATGTCCGGTTGTGAGGGTATCAGGCCCTTGCAAGTTGCCATCCACTGCCCGGGCTTCGCCCAGCGATGCAGAAAGCCACCTACTACGACAACGCCGCTGCTGCACTCTTCGGAGGCTACTCCTCGTACCCTGGCAGCAATGGCTTCGGCTACGACAGTGCCCCCCAACCCGCCTTCCAGGCCACCACGCACCTGGAGGGCGACTACCAGCGCTCAGCGTGCTCGCTGCAGTCCCTGGGCAACGCCGTCCCACACGCCAAGAGCAAGGAGCTCAATGGCAGCTGCATGAGGCCTGGCCTGGCCCCCGAGCCCCTGTCTGCCCCGCCCGGCTCACCCCCGCCCAGCGCCGCACCTACCAGTACAACTAGCAACAGCAGCAATGGGGGCGGGCCGGGCAAAAGCGGCCCCCCCAAGTGTGGTCCCGGCTCCAACTCCACCCTCACCAAACAGATATTCCCCTGGATGAAAGAGTCGAGGCAAACGTCCAAGCTGAAAAACAGCTCCCCCGGCGCAGGTACCAGCTCTCTGCCTTCCTCATCGTCTGCTTTTGTCCGGGCCAGGAATGTCACTGTTATTCTAGCACCCAGGCCCTAGGCGCCCAGGTGGCGGCGGCACCGGCGGTGTTCCCTTACCTCCCTCTTACCACCTGATGACCCCTGACCCCTCGAACACCCTCTCCTGCCAGCCACCCTCCACCAGAGCACCGGAGAGTTCTATAAGGCCACGCGCTCAGCCTCAGCCCTTTGCGAGGCTGCCGAACCACCAGACGCAGAGTCGTCAACGATTGATTATTATTAAGTATGATTACTGTGGGTATTAATCACAATTGCTCCGGCGGCCCGGGGTCCCGGCCTCCAGGCACGGCAGCCTCTTCGCGTCACACTTTTGCGCCTTGCCCACGGATGTGCAGATTCCCTCAAGGGTCTTCCTCAGCCACACACCCTGTCCACAGGACCTGGCAGGAAGGTGGGGGGAGTGTCTTTCCAGACCTGGAATTGGGCATGGGGGTGAAAAGATGCGCGATAAAATTCAGACCTAAATAAATGGCCATGCGGCTCTGTCTGCGTGACATGATCAAATTTTCATAAGCTGGGGCAGCGAGAGGAGAACAGGTCTCTTAATAAATGCCACTATTATAGAGTGTCCGCTAATGCGCTGGGCAGGGGGCTGGCCCACTCTCTGAGTCACTGGGTTGTCACTGCCTACTGATTCAGCATTTGTTTCAGCCCACTGATTCTCTTCTCTGAGCCCTTTGAGCCCTCCCATACATGGGAGACTCTTATTAAATTATTAAGGAAGACAATTTAGGTGATACAAACTTTAACTCTTCATGAAGAGGACAGTTTCCATTCAGAGAACTGCAAACGGCGGGGGAGGGGACAAGAGCCCCCCGGGGTCGACGGCGTCCAAGCGGGCGCGGACGGCGTACACAAGCGCACAGCTGGTGGAGCTGGAGAAGGAGTTCCACTTCAACCGCTACCTGTGCCGGCCGCGCCGCGTGGAGATGGCCAACTTGCTGAACCTCAGCGAGCGGCAGATCAAGATCTGGTTCCAGAACCGGCGCATGAAGTACAAGAAGGATCAGAAGGCCAAGGGCTTGGCCTCGTCGTCAGGGGGCCCCTCCCCCGCCGGCAGCCCCCCGCAGCCCATGCAGTCCACTGCCGGCTTCATGAACGCCTTACATTCTATGACCCCCAGCTACGAGAGCCCGTCCCCGCCCGCCTTCGGCAAAGCCCACCAGAACGCCTACGCGCTGTCCTCCAACTACCAGACCCCTCTCAAAGGCTGCGGCGCCCCGCAGAAGTACCCCCCGACCCCGGCGCCCGATTACGAGCCCCACGTCCTCCAAACCAACGGGGGCGCCTACGGAACGCCCACCATGCAGGGCAGCCCGGTGTATGTGGGCGGGGGTGGCTACGCGGATCCGCTGCCGCCCCCTGCCGGCCCCTCCCTCTACGGCCTCAACCACCTTTCCCATCACCCCTCGGGGAACCTGGACTACAACGGGGCGCCCCCTATGGCTCCCAGCCAGCACCACGGACCCTGCGACCCCCACCCAACCTACACAGACCTCTCTCATCATGCGCCTCCTCCTCAGGGTAGAATCCAAGAAGCGCCCAAATTAACACACCTGTGATGGGAAAGGGAGGGCGGAGGAGTGAGGTCATGGGGGAGGAAAGAGCCAGGAGAGGCAGCCTGGAGGTCTGAAAAAGGAGCCAGGGAGGGAGGTGGTAGTGAACCTTCCTGCGAAGAACGGGCCTGGCGCTCCTTCCCCTCCCCCTGGCCTGAGAGGTTGCTTTTTTAAGTCCTCCGGCCCTGTTTCCATCTGCCTGCCAACCCGTTGGAAAGGAATCCACAGCCGACTGGAGATGACCCCATCAACCCGAGGCCTTCAGCAATATCCAGTTGGAACTCCGCTCTCGGGTGTGGGGTAGAGGAAGAGGAGATAGGGAAACAAGGCAGAGAAGAAGCACATTTTAAAAAACAGGATGGCTAGGCCATCACCAACCAACTTACCTTCCATCTCTGTGGGTAACTTCCCCAAATCTTGATTTTTTTTTTCCTTGCAATTCTCCTTTTAAGAAATTATAAAACATATCAAAACCAAGGGCACAGAGCATGCTCCCTTCCCCCTTCTCTGAAGCCTCAAATTGCCTCCCATCTACTTGAGGTTAATTGGGCACTCCCTTTCTAGCCCCATATTTTTCTGTTCTAGGCCATTAATATCTATACCCCACCCCCATCAATTACAGTTTTCAGAGGGCTCAGGGATGGTGAGAGATCCTGAAAGTGAGAGCTGTCTATATTATAAATGTATATTTTTTTCATTTATGGAAAAGCTGGGCGGTGAGGACAAGCAAGTTGTCAGAATTGAAGGTTTGCCCATTCTGCTGCCTCCCATCTCAGCTCCAAATACATCTCCCTCTCTCCACAGAAAGCAATCGGTGACGCGTGGTTCTACACTTTTCTTTTCTTCTGTTGCTCTCTTGACTTAACGTGAAAACAGGGTATATTTTAACAAACTGTTTGTCCCAGGCAGGGGCTGCAGCCGGGCCTGTGCGCCTTGCTCAACCCCCTGACAGGACACTTTTGTTGCACTTAGAGTTTACATTTTAATGGATATAAAAACAACTGTGAGAGATGCCTGGGCCTGCAAGAGTCCAGTATCGCTCAAAAAGTGTGTGTTCTAGTGAACATTTTCATATATATTTATTGGTTATAGCCTGTTAAAATATTTTCTTTTTTTGTATTATTTATCCCCTTACATTATGTATTTATATGAGAAAAAAAAGGAAAAAAACTGTACTTTTTTAGTATTTACTTGTTATAAAGGATGTGTTTCCTGTCATGTAAAACCAGCTATTTTAGTTATTGTACTCTAGAAAAGAGCTGTAGATTTATGTTAAACTCGTACTTATGAGCAATTGTAATTAGTTCTTAAAGGCATGAACTCAGCTCCTAATTGTCACTGTATAGTCCTGAATTTGTAGAATTAGAGTTAATTGGAACTTTCTTTGTTCTTCAGTAGTTACTTTTTTCCTTACTTAAAAGGGTTGTCTGTCAAACAATTCTTGAATAAACTTTCTGTTATCAATTTTATCTTGTCCTAGTGGTCCAATTTAGATAGCAGAGCGAGGCTGCTGACTGCCAAATTTCCCCCAAGGGAGGAAGGACATTGAAGCCCCTGTCCTGGCCTTTTCGTCCATGGCTCAGGCCCCTACCTCCTTTTGCCTGTCTCAGGTTTATACAGTTTTTCTCACATGAGCCTGAACCATCCTGCGAAATTCTTTAGCTAAGATTTGAGTAACAAGTTAGGGAGAAGGAAGATTCTTAGATACTCTCTCTAGGTTTTTCAGTTTGGCTTCTTAGCTTCTCCGTTTTTCTCATTCATTAACCTTTTGTCTTCTCTCCTTTGGCCACAACTTCCCTGCCCCGCCCCTGCCCACAAACACCACCACCACCACCACCACCATCAACAACAGCAACAAAAATCTGGCCGATTACAGCTCCTTCCACGCAACCTAAACTTCACAGTTTTCTTCCGGAGCTACAAAGAAGTGGTCACGTGACCCGAAGCCCAACCACCATTGGGTCTAAAATGAAAACAAAGGAAAATGATTAATCTAAAAAAAAAAAAAAAAAAAAAATCTGAGGCCTCAACTTCTCAGGTCAAGTCTTAAAAACTAAAGTGAAATTAAATCACTAAATAAAACAGGGTGGAGGGAGAGGCGGTGGATTTGATTTCCCCTGCCAGGGAAAGGGGAAAGGAGGAGGGTGGGAGAAGCTGTTATAGCCAATCTTAAATAAAATGGTCCCCAGGCTAATGTGCCGTTGTTTGTACGATTCTTGGGAAAACTTCATTTCTTAGTCGTGCTTCCATAAAAGTTTTATCACATTGGAGCGAGGATAGAGAGGGTCTGTCAAAGATGAAATGTCACCACCGCGTCACTGGAGTCGATAAGAGCGAGGAGACAGGGCGGCTGAAATATGGAGCTAATTCATTGAAAGAGAAGCGATGGCTGCTTGCTGAAGAGTTGCATAATTCTAATTGTAAGCGATGCGCCCGCATTGCTTAATTAGGAGCATATATTTGGTGGAAGTGATGGGGGGTAGTGTGGGTGAGAATGGTTGCAGGCCCTCAGCCTTAAAGTGAGGGCTGATTTTCATTTTTATGTTGCATCCTGGCAGTCCAAGGTTAGTAATTACAGTCTTTATGCAACAATAAATAACAATAAAAAAGCAACCTGAATTCTAACCCCCCTCCCCAATACAATTTTAACTGGACTCAGCTCATCCAAGCAGCAAGCAATTTAGCATTGGGTCAGGCTATAATTTAAAGGCATAAGAGCGTGCAAAGTTTGATTGGTATCAAATAACGCTCAAGGGTTTTTCTTTCTCTTTTCCTCTTCCCTGAATAACATTTTCTGAATGATGTAACTAGATGAAGCGCCATGTTTGGCTCTTGGGGTGCAGCGGATTGATTAGCAGGAAAGAAGCAGGCCAATAGAGAGAATTTTGCTCGAGTTTGAAAAACAGTTATGGCTTGAAGCTAGAACTGCAAATAAAAATAAGGGCCTACTTGGCTTGGTGTTCCCCACCCTTCTCTCTGTGAGATTCCAGGCACTAGCTCAGCAGCCAAAGTCATGGGGAATATATCTGTGCTAAGATTCACAGCACAACAGGGCGGGGGGGCGGGAAAGAGGTGTCTGTGGGAAGGAGGGCTCTCTTGGTCTCTTTTCACACCCAACTTTTCTGCTCTTCTCTAATCTGGCAGTACAATCTGTCAGCTGGGCTAGGGAGAGCTGTATTTCCTGAAGGGACAGTCCTACTGGCTGTTGCCCAGGGAAGCGCTCGATCCTGCAGCCAGCTGGAGAGCCTGTGAAAAAAACTTCCAGGGCTTCTCAAGGGGGTGGTCGGAGGGAGAACCCACTCTCAGGCCTTACTGCACAACTTCCAGACTACTACTACTCGGATTCTTCTGAGCCCACCCCCACCCCCGCCTGACTCCCACCCACACCTCCAAATGGCAAAAATTTCTTTCTTTGGAGCTGCGTTGGACGTAACCATCTCTGGCCAGTTTTCCTCGTGTTGAGCAGTTCTCTCTGAGCCCTCCAGAGACTACTACCCCCTTGTCCCTGCAGCCCCCACCTCCAACTGGCTCTCCTCCAGCCCCACCCTTTTCCTCAGACTTCTCTGTCCTTTTTAAACGCTCACCACCACCCGCGCGAATGAATACTTACCACCACCCACGCAGCCGTTACATTGACAAAAAGTTTCTAGTTCCAGCTCCCGGCCGAGTCGCGATTTCTCTGCTAACCAGCTTTCTCTTCGCTGGGCAGCAGGGCAGGGAGGGGGAGGGGAGGCCAGTGCCGTGGGAGTTCTCCAAACTTTCCACCCAACTCAGCGCCCTTCCCTCTGCCCCATTTCCCATCTGTTTCTCCGCTCTCCCAGAATCACCTTTCCCTTGTGCTAACACCCCCCACCCTCAGGCCTTTTAAAGGGATGCGGAATTTCGGCTGTTCCCTCTGCTTTCCCAAAGAGCCAAATTCTTTGATGCCATCGGAGGAGCTGTCAGGGGGCTAAGATTGATCGCCTCATCTCCTCTCCATCCCTCTGACCCACTTATTTAAAAATCTTCCCTTAGATCGACTTTTCATTTTCTGCTTTGAGATCTAGTTTCTCACCAATTGCTTGGGTCCATTAGTCTTGTGCCCCCTCCCTCCAGTAAATTACAGCACTCCTGAAAGTTCAGACTATCTTGCTCTCCTTAAATAAATAAAAAACAAAACCAAAAAATTTTCCCCAGGGGCCAGAAGTGGAATATCATCTCAGTGGTCATTATTTCTACCCTCTCCATATTCAGGGATTCTTTCCTGCAAGAGATTTTTTTTTTTTCATTATTAGCACAATAACAAAAATGAGAGGGGTCTCTCTTTGTCCTGCATGGGGGAGGGGGGTGCTCTCCCTCAGAAAAATGGACCTGAGCTTTGAGTTAAATCTCTGGCTACTTTGGTTCTTGTTCATGTCCCTGAATATAAATACAGATACAGACTTGAGGCTTGAGTGGGTGCAATGCATCTTAGACCCTGATTTTTTTAGGGGGGAGAGGGGGTCAGAGGAGTACAGATGCCTCCAGGTGAGGAAGGTAGGTGGACATATGGGCAGGGGCAGTGCTGCAAACACTGGACAGAGAAGGAAACTGAGACCACACAGCTATGGAGGCCAGAGGCCCAAAGGGGCCCCTCACCATCTATCTCACTCTTCTGTGTCAGCCTGGGAGTGCCTGTCGATTTTCCAAGATTTATCTGTTGCTTTTGGAGGGTGAGATGGGGATAGTGGTGCTGATGATTGTAAATCTCTTCTCTTCCTTATTGCACCTTAACACTGACCTTTCCCAAAGGGGGATGCTGCTTTCTACTACCTCTTCCTCCCACACTGAGATCCTCATTCAATCCTTTTTTTTTTTTTTTGGTGGGGGGAGGGGAATGCTGCTGGCCATGTAAAAAACAAAAAACAAAAAACATTGATTTACTCTATCAAAAATATTTCAAAAGGAAAATGTCTCCCTTAGATTCTGTTGTTTCTGTGGCTTCCAGAACCTCCCATCCTCTCGAGGGGATGAGGGAAAGCTTTTCTAGCTTTTCTGGAGAAAGAGAATCATTGGGGAGAGGGGATGAAGGACTGGGGAGCTCATGGCGTCCAGGTCGGAGTCCTCTAGAGTTTTTGAATCAATTAAAGCAAATAATGCTCTCTGTTTTCCACCAGGCCCAGACGAGCGATTGGCCGAGGCCAGTCCCGTGACCACGAATTCCCTGCAATTTCGCCGGAGTCCTGGGTTTAATAGAGAGAGTCCCCATACGCTTGTATTTATCAGCAATATACAATTATAAAGGCCCAAAATTTAAAAAAAAAAAAAAATCAAGAGCGGAATCTCCCCCTCCCAAAATCATTCCATCACATAAGCCTGGGGGGGGCAGGAGGGGGGGTCCCTTCCGATCCTCCCTCCTGACGCCCCCCCCAGCAGGCCCCCTCCCCCACCATTGAAAGCCATGAATTTTGAATTTGAGAGGGAGATTGGGTTTATAAACAGCCAGCCATCGCTCGCCGAGTGTCTGACTTCCTTCCCCGCTGTCTTGGAGACATTTCAAACTTCATCAATCAAGGAGTCGACATTAATTCCTCCTCCTCCTCCTTTCGAGCAAACCTTCCCCAACCTCCAGCCCGGCGCCTCCACCCTTCAGAGACCCGGGAGCCAAAAGCAAGCCGAAGATGGGCCCGTTCTGCCGCCGCCGCCGCCGCCGCTCCCCGCCGCCCCCCTGGCCCCCGAGTTCCCCTGGATGAAAGAGAAGAAATCCGCCAAGAAACCCAGCCAATCTGCCACGTCTCCTCCGGCCGCCTCCTCGGTCCCAGCCTCCGGGGTTGGCTTGCCTGCAGGTCGGTAATGGGGGTAGAGGTGGGGTGAGGGGCAGCTAGAAGAGAGGGGGGACAGAGCGATGGGGGAGATAGAAAAGGTGGCGAGTCTGTTGGGGTTCCTTGCCCCGTCGATTCCAGGGACGAGGAAGCAAAATAGACCGCTGGGGCGCAGGCCTGGCCGCTGCCACTTTTTTTTTTTTTTTCCTACAGCACATTTGGAAGCTAATGGGGGAAGAGATTTTTCTCTGCTAGGAGAAAAGAATTTGCTTGACCCTTATCTGTGTGGAGGAATGATTGTGTTGTTGCTGGGGTTGAATCTGGGGGCAGGAAAAGATTCGGTCCCAGCTCTTAGTCAAGCGGAGAATCTCATAGCTAAGGAGGAAGGGGGGTGAGGAACAATATTTATGAACCCTCTCCCCAAGTGGAGTTGGAAAGTGCCGAATTGAGGGGTCCACACAGAGGACTTTGGGGGGGGGGACTTTGAGCTTCTGGGGACAAAGGGGAGCCACTCGCTACCCACTGCGTGGCCCGTGGGTGGCTCTCTGAGTGCTTTGTTCTAACCTGGGCTGGCTGTGCTGGCGAGAGGGTCGGGGAAAAGGGGAGAAAGCAGTGAAAGCGGCTTGTTTAAAGAGGAGGGGGATCTGCTGAAACTGTTTTTGGCGGATGAGGTAGTGTTTATTTCAGCTGAACTGTGGTTGGGAGGAGGACACGGCCCGCTGTGATGCCTAGGCTGCTTTTCCCCTACAGATGGCTCGGGGCTGGCGGAGGCGGCCGGCAGCGGGGCGCGCAGGCTGCGCACGGCTTACACCAACACACAGCTGCTGGAGCTGGAGAAGGAATTCCATTTTAATAAGTACCTGTGCCGGCCGCGCCGCGTCGAGATCGCGGCCTTGCTGGACCTCACCGAGAGGCAAGTCAAAGTCTGGTTCCAGAACCGGCGCATGAAGCACAAACGGCAGACACAGCACCGAGAGCCGCACGACGGAGAGCCAGCCTGCCCAGGCGCCCTGGAGGACACCGGCGAGCCCGCTCTGGAGCCCATGGCCAGCCCCGCCGCCTCGCAGGCGGCGCGGGAAGCCTGCTCTTACCCTCCTGAGGTCGCGCCGGGCCCCCTGGGCGCCTCTGGCTCTCTGCCTCTGGCCGCTCGCGGGAACGGCGCGCGGGCGCTGAGCCCCGGCTGCGCCCTGAGAGGGTCGGACGGGCTGGAGCCAGAGCCATTGCCCGAAGACGCCTTCCCCGAGCGGCAGGATTCGCCTTTCCTGCCCGACCTCAACTTCTTCGCGGCCGACTCTTGTTTTCAGCTGTCCGGAGGCCTCTCCCCAAGCGTGCAGGGCTCGCTGGACAGCCCGGTTCCCTTTTCTGAGGAAGAGCTGGACTTCTTCACCAGCACCCTATGTGCCATCGACCTGCAGTTCCCCTAACTTGTCCCCTCCGCCCGGCCCTTCCGGCCCCCCCACCACCACCACCTCGGTTGTCTAATGGAAACCCCCAGGACCTTCCACCCCCAAGTCATTTAGACTTCTTTATGTGTTTTGCTAAAATTCAGGTATTATCGAATTAGCGTTTAATTCACTTCCTTTCTTCTCTAAAATATTGGGCACTCGAGCGTCTTTTTAAAATCACACAGAAAAATTCCGTTTCTTAAACTCCTTCCAGCGAAATCTCAGGAATAATTAAACTCTAAGAGGGGCTTTCTTAAAAAATAACTAGAGGAACCTATTTTCCTCGTTTTCTTTTTTTAAGTTTTAGACTAGATTATTTATTAAAATTCTTTAATAATAGGAAAAGGGGAAAGTATTTATTGTATATTATTTTCATAGATTAAATAAATGTCTTTATAATACGAAAATGAGTGTTTGTATTGGGACGGCACTTTTCC